CAGCAGCGTCGGCGGCGGCGGCCATTAAGTGCCATTTCCATGGGCGCTAGAGAAGAGTGCGTTTGTGTCTGTGTGCGTGTGGGGGGTGTGTACCCGTAAAGGGGGTGGGCGTGGCCCGAGGCGCACTCTAATGAAAAGGATAATCAAAGGCTGGTGGTCTGCTCTGTCTTTCGATGATGATTGAATACTACTGAGAGCTGACTGATGCTGCTGATTGATGAATATGAGAACTACTGATTGGTACAGAGACAAGGAATATGCCAGGAAGGCCATGCGAGGCATTTCAGTGCTTAGCCCCCATCAGACATTCACTGCATCGATTCACCACAGCTCAAACTAGCAACAACAACGGACAAGCCAAACGAAACATTGAACTCGACTAGACAAAATGTCGACTATTCTGAATACAAATACCACTCAAGAGCAATCGAGTGCTGCCAGCTGCTGCCGACACTACTGTGGACAATGCAGCAGCGTAGCAGCCGAAGGATGATCACCATCGTCAGGCAGGGCCTGTCCGAGATCTTTGACCTCAAGAAGACATGCATGCATGCCATCGACTGTGGCTGATCGACACGGAGATCTGCAAGCCCGAGCAGCTGAAGCTGCACTGAAGAGGGGATCACGCCTTTATGCCTTTATGCTCTGCTTTCGGCCACGATTTTTCTAGTTTTAATCACTCTTCACTGTAGTTTACTCTCTGGAAAGAACTGAGCAAATGAAAAAGAAAAATCAAATGAAATGTGTAAAAGAAATATTAAAAAATCAAAGGAAATGATAAGCCAAAGAACATAGAAATAGGGAGACGAGTGGCCAAGTTTTTAAAGCCACAAGGAATTGTGGCCATAATATTTGGCATTTAAAATATCAAAAATAATCCGTATCTTTCTCCCCACATAGATATTTTTTCTCTTTCACATCATTTCTCTGGGTCTGTTCGCGTCCATCTGCATTTAAGGCAGGAGGAGCAGGAATAGAGAACGCGACCAAAAACTTTTCGTGTACTTTTGCACTTGAAATGACCGCGGTGGTGGGTGGTTGGTGGAGGGGAAGCACACAATGATGATGATGATGATGGGAATGGCTACAAGGACCGCAAGGACGACCATTAGACAGTGTTACAGTGGGATGTTTAACTGTTTTGTTTATGAAAATTACACGCATTCGGGAGACGTCACTCGGTTGGCCTCCCTTGCTGCTTTCTGCTTCTCGAGATGACCTCAACTTTAACTTTAACTTTGACTCCAAGAGGAGGGCAACACCGCCACTGGCACTCCCACTCGGAACTCCCACTGCCACTCGGAACTCCCATTCGAAGAGCCATTCGGGGCATCGCATCGACTTCTGCAGCTTCGACGACTTCCGGATGTGTGCGGATTGGGGATGGGCAATGGAAATGGGAATAGCGGTGCTCCACTTGACTAACGGCAGTTTCAGTTTCCAAAAAAAGAATAAGAAGTAGGTGGAAAGAGCAGTGGCAGGAGGGCGATTGGGAGGGGGAGGAGCAGAAGGAACAAGAAAGTACCAAAAGAAACCAGACAAAGAGTATCAAAAAAAAAAGCAACAAAAAAAAAAACAGCAAAAGAAAGGAAAAGGAATCGCGGGTGCACTCCCTCCTCGTGCTGGATTCATTTTCCATTCGGCAACTTTTGCCACACACACCCCCCCCCCCCCCCGCCTTTCCTGTGTNCCCCCCCCCCCCCCCCCCCCCCCCGCCTTTCCTGTGTGGGTGGGTGTGTGTATTTTCACTGTTAGAAAAGCGCGCAAAAGTAAAGTTTTTGCTTTGCAAACAACAACCAATAAAACTTTAAGCAATCTTCCACAGCTCCGTAGTCGGAGTGGCAGTGGCGTCGGCATAAAAGGGGGGTACAACTTTTGGCGGTGGGGGGGGGGAGTACGCAGCGCGTAAATGCCTTGCATACGCTACGCTATGGCTTTTCCTTGGAGCGGCAGCGGTTTCCTCTTGCTCCATTTTTGCTTTCATTTCCAGTTTCCTTTTCGTTTTTCCTTTATTTTTTCAATTTTTTATTTTTTAATTTATTTTCACTGCAGTTTCAATTCTGTTTCCGTTGTCTCTCGCTCCTTTGCTCTCCTTCCTCTTCAGGTATGAGCCCACATGTGACTAGGACTGATGCAAGAAGCCGCTTGGTGGGCGAGCAAGTTGCAGCAGCGACATTTTCCAGCTTCCTGTTTCCCCTTCCACCGTTTTGTGGGGGTGGTGGGGCATTATGAGTGCCTCGAACAGATGTTGGCAGAGAGAAAAGCAAACAGTTTGATCGAGTTTGACCCAGCCCCATGCTAGTTCCTTCACACATAATGATAATCAGACTTAACGTGAATCTGCATTCAATGTTCCATTCAAGTTTCTCTTTCAGAAAACACACAAATTAATCTTGAGGTTATCCAAATGAGCTTCTAGGGTATCAAAGTCGTCGCTTCTGCCACCCAAAGCTTCTTTTCATGTCTCTCTGTTTTCTTTCCTTTACTTTACTTTTTTTTGGTGTTCGTTCTGTGGCCATAGGCAGTCAGTGGACGCATCGCCATCGGCTCTGGCAATCTGCATGCCAAGAGGCGCCTCTTACCACACCATACCCCCCTGTCCGCTGCTGCAATTCGATAAGAGCAACAACAACATTTAAAATTTATTTTTAAAATTTTTGTAACTACTTTTGGCAGAATGTTTGCCCAATGTTTTCCATATGTGTGTGCGGGTGAGTGCATACACACATATGCCCGTGTCTCTGTGTGTGTGTGTGCTTGTCTGTGTGTACTGCAATTTGGGCTTGTTGCAGCCTGGCACTGCTTTCAACCTTTCAAAGGAGTGGACTGCTAAAGAGCACTTACCAGGAGCCGCACACACACACACACACACACACCAGTCGGAGGAGCATATGGAACGTAACCTAACGTAACATCAAAGAAAAGCAGTGCCAGACAGTGTGCTCCATAAGCATAAGGATTGAACAAACGAGCATCAGATTGAATATTTGAGTTGCCTTCTTAGGATATTCTTCAGCAGCTTCGCATCGATGATTGTTGTAACTTGTTGACAAGTCTCTAAAGATTTAAATCATTTAATATTTATCCATACGAAGCTGTTCAGTTTCCAAGCACGTTGTTTTGGTCTCCCAAAATTAGCTAATCGGACAACCTGGTTTTGTTTTCTGTGTCGGTTTTTGGTGACCAGGAATGGGGACAGTGGGCGAGTAAATTCACTTTTGGTCGGTGGCTTCAGTTCTTCGGGAAATACAACACTCGTACTTATTTGCCAACATACAATCCGGGCTTATCCCCCTGTTTTTCGATAGGTTAAACCACAACCACACGATCTTTATGCATAGACACAAATTTTCTAATTCATGTTATGGCTTTACCTTAGGACTCTGTTGACCCACTCCTGACCCTTTCATAGATACTCCTTCGCAGCCAGTGGGTTGCCTCCCAGAAACACACATTTCTGTAAAAAGGCATTATCCCGGGGCTCAATTCAAATATACAAAAATACTTGTGTATTTGTAAGATACAAATACGAAATGGATAGACATATTTTTGTGAGGAGGATAAAGTTTTGGCCTTTGGTTGGCTCTTTTCTACGGCTTTGGCATTTTTAGTTTTATTTGAATTCTATTTTTTTATGTTTATTTTTATTGGCCAGGCCGACAACGACTACAACGACAGCGACTGAGAAGAGAAGTTTCTGTTCAAGCGGCACTTGAACAACGCGCCAACACAAACACCGTCACACACACACACACACACACACACACATATGCAATTGTCATAAAGGAAAAGTTGTATTACATTTATGACACTTTTTGAATACATATTTTTGCACATTTCTTTTTTCGTACCCCTTGGCGCTCGATGGCCGGGGTAAGCTGTGTGTTTTGGCGTGGTTGCACATGTTCATTGGAAAATATTTCAGTGTTACTCCGATCCGGAAGACACAAACATTGCATGACAGGTTGATACCTAAAGCAATTAAATCTACAGATTTAGAAACAAAACTTTGTATCATGCAGTTGTGTCCATTCCAACAGAAGATCTGCAAGTACGAACCTTCGGCATAAGAAGTTTAGATCCCTAGGTGCTTAATGCTGTACAAAAAGAGCTTGCGGCAAGCTTGCTCCCTGACACTTGATATTGGAATTGTAGCAATTCTAGCAAATGATTATCCCCAACTTGATCCATGGGTATCATATAGTCTCTTCAGTTACTTTGATCAATTTCGGATGTGCGAGTGTTTTGCATTTTTTTGTGTGCGCCTCCTGTGTCCACGGCCCTGCCCCTGTCCCTGTCCCCTTCCCAGCCCACACAGCACGTTCGCTGTTTTATTTAACTCCCCATTACGTTTTTACAACCCTTTTCGTTTACTCTTTCGCTGTACGCCCCCCCCCTGCCAGCCATGGCGCTTCCTTTCTTTGGGTTATCCCCGCGTGTTGACAAAGCGGCAAAAGCAAACAAAGCAGAAGGCAAACAACGCGATAAACTTGGCCCAAAACGAGGCCATTGGGCGGACACCATGACCGACGGCGGGATAGGGGAACATAGGCAGCCTTGAGTGGGCCCGGAAAGGCGGCAGAGCATTTTAGTTGGCGACATTCCATCAAAAATGGGCAAATGAGTCAATCTCCCGTCGGCGAATGTCGTTTGGAGCCACGCACTTAATCAAAGTATATGTATATTGCCTCCCCCCTGCCACTGCACTTCGCCCTGGCCATGGGCATACACGGGAGGGGGTTATAGAAAAATAAAAATCACAGCAAAACATGCGGACAATTCTCAGGCCGTCGCAGAACAAATAAGCCCCAATGGCACATATGGGTTTTCCGTTCAACTCGTTTTTCCGTTTAGCAAATAAAAAATAAATAAATTAAATACACAAAAGAATAAACAGAAGCGTGAGAGAGAAAGATGCAAATATTAGAACGAAAGGGGAACTCTCCCGTACAGCCCTGAAGATAAATCTCCTATAAAACTCTTCCATGTGTACCTTAAAGATGGCTCCATTTATGGTTAAATCTGCGTAAGTGAATGTCCCCACTGGAGAGGGTAAACGATTCCAACCCATCCTTGAAAGTTCCACTAAATGGTTGAAAAAACACAGCACATGGTTTGATTATTATTTAATTGACGGAGTGATTAACATTGAAACAGATTTAATCCGACTGTTAATTGCTTCGTTAATTGATCGACTCTACGGCTGAACAAAAAAACTAATTCCGAGAATGCAGTGGGAATTATTTGCCATATGTGGACTTGGATGTGCATTTACTCAATGCTTGCACTAAGGGAGAATTGGAGAGGAGATTGTTCAAATGCAAATGGGGCTAATTGTTTGAAAATTGTATCCTTTAGTTCCAACAGAAGGTGCAGTACAACAGCTTATTGCTTATTGGTTCATCTTAAGCAGCTTTACTCTGGGAGAGGCTTAAGTCGAAGATGCATTCAATGAAGATGCAAACGAGTAGCAGTGGGAGTGGCATGGCTGCTTATTAAAATCATTATTGAGGTTCCATCTGAGTCTCTCTCTCTCTCTCTCTACGCTTTCTGAAAATATCTCGACGCAAATCGAGCATGAAAATCGGATGAGAATTCTTAAATTAAATTCTGACACACAGATGGGGACATGATAACATGAGTGGTGTGTGTGTGTGTGTGTGTGTATCTGTCTGTGGGTGATAACGATGCCACATCCAGCTCCCAGACCAAGCCACGACGGGCGCCTCCTTCTTGGCTGCTGTTGGCGCCTCCATTCATTCGTTCTGTGGCGCTGATGTTTCCTCGTACATTCGCGCAATTTATTTAACTTGATTTGCTGCAATTTATTTCAAGTGTTGTCGTTTATTTAAACACTTCACACACACACACACACAATCACACACACACACACCATAGAGGGAGTAAAAGAGAGAGAGAGAAGTGACGGCACGTGGAAAATGCACCGCAAGAAAAATACACTTGAAAAGGCGGCTGGCAGCATAATTGTGTGCCACTTACGGTAACCAGCAAACGGACCCAAGTTGCAGCACACAGACACACACACACACACACGTGCATACAGACACATGGCTGTGTGCAATTAACCCTTTGATGCAATAATAAATTGTATGTCATGACTTTTTCCCTCTCGGTGTACGCTTTTCCCCGCACTATCCCTCTAGTCTCTCCTGCTTTATCTGCCTCATTCCCTCTCCTCTCCTCTCCTCTCCTCTGCCTTCGCTTGCCGCAGCATTCGCATTAACAGTTTGTCTACCATTCATAAAATTACTCAAGCAAATTTTATTTGCACAAATATATACGCGACTTGTTTGCCTTCGGCTTTGTGACCCACACAACTGCCAACATACCATCCGCCCAGCAGTCCCCATTCCCACCTCCGTCTCGCACTTGCGTCATGGGGCGCAGCACGGAGGGAAGTAGTTACAGGCCACCCTCAAGCCCCCAGACACACGTCTCACTGAGAATATCTTGCGATCTAGTCGACTGGCAAAGTCCAGACGATGCGATGTGTTGCGATGCGGCACAGTGGATGGAATAGATGCAAAGAGGCTGTCACTTTATAACGCAGACACACAGCGATAAATGTGAAAAGAAAATAAATCATTTACATTCTTCGAAATGATTAAGGTTTGATGTGAGAAGTGTGGGATTATTTCTTTGAATTAAAGTAGTTTTGGAGATTCCAACAGCGATCCAATCAATGTCTAATCGATTTCCCTGAATTGCTCTTCGTTTATTTATTTATATTCCATTGGATACCCTTCTGCTTTTTCCATTATGCCATCGATAATTACCTAACTTATCAGGCGGCAGCTCTTGCATTTATTACAAATTTCCTCGCTAAAATGGCATTTATTGTCCATTGCCCGATATCATTCCACACCATTTCGATTGCCAATGTTTTGCATTGTCTGTTCCTTTTTCCTTTCCCTTTCCCTTTCCCTCTATCTCTAGCTCTATTTGCTTTTTGCTTTGCTCCCAGAAATGGGCGTAGTCACTTGGGGGCGTGGCAGTGGCAGTGGCCAGGGCCGGGGACGGGGCTTAGTGTCTGGTTCGATGCTTGCCGGGCGAAACACTTTCAAGTGTTCATCATTTTCCGCTGCTAATGGCGCTCATTTATTTTATTGACAGCCGTTTCCGTACATTTTCCTCACTTTTTTTGGCCCTCTCTTTCGCTCTCCTTCTGCTTCCTTTGGCTATCTCTCGTTTTTTGTGGCATCCAAATGGTTGCCGGAGCAAAGGACCTTTCCCATGGCGTAAAGTGTGCAAATTAGTTGATTTTTATGAGTGAAGGAATGCCTCGTTTGATCAGCGACCGACCTCCAGCGACACCTGAATGAAATGAATGCGAAAACGAATGGCAGAGGGACGAATGCGCTGCGCTGATGCGAATAAGTACATACCGTACCGTACCGTACCGTGGCATGGCATGGCATGCCATGAAAATACTACCGATGCGATGCCATCCAATAAATACGAAGCAATTTGCATGCGGTGGTTGCTTACTGGGCCATAATTAATTTTCCTTAATTTCTTTCCCTTTTTATTTTGCAGACTCGAAGGCGGGACCGGTCTGCCCCGGTGACTGAGTAATTGATAATATTGAATGCTGCAGGACGAACAGCCGCTGCCAGGACATTGCCGCCTGTACACTGAAATCCATTAGTGAGTATAAATGAATCCTTGTATAAATCATTAACAACAACAACAAAAGCCGCCAGTGGGTGGGAAAAAGAAATGAGAACTGAAATCTGGGGCATGAGTCAAGCAATGCAATGGGCACTGCAAAGCGGAGGGATCTCCCTGCATCTCTGTATCTGTTGTATCTGTATGAGCTCTGGGACTCGTATCTGGGTGTGTTTATTCAGGTATCCTGCGGCATATACCCGGCACATCCTGTTTGTATGCGTAAGTTTTAATTGAAGGCTTTTACATTTGGCTTTGCGGTGATAATAATTAATAATTGAAGGCGCTATCGTTGCCACTCTGTTGAAATACTGTGTTGCTCCTGCTGCCACTTTGCTACACTCTCACACACTCGACTCTCAAGCACGCACTCAGAGGGGGCGGGGCCAACAAAGTTTTGCGGCCCAACCACAATAGATCCTACTCCTACTCGCACCCCCAACAATGTTTTCATCACGCTTACGACTTAACCCCAAGCAAAATTGAATGGTATCCACCCTCCCTGCTCCACATCCCCCCGCAATCTTTCACACGCGCGTCTCACGGTTTTTATTGGGGTACGGGTACGGGTACCCTTTCTATGGGCATTTACATATGCAAAGAGACATGGAACGGCAGCAAAGAGGGAAAACAATTGCCTCAAATGAGGATATTTCGTTGTTTATAAATGATGCCAAGATTCAAAAATCGAAATGCATTCAAAATCGAAATTCCATCACTTCCATAGGGAAAAATATTTCAACCCTAATTTTGGGAGTTTCCCTTCAAAGATTTCCTCATTTTTCACCCACTAAAATCTATCATCCAAACTGCTTCTCGGCTTCCATCCCATAGCCAATGGAGCAATGTGTGTGCTTCAAAGTGTATGCCAATCCGAATCCCAAAAGTTAACAAGTTTTTGCCCCCTTTGTTTGGTTCAGGATTTTCCTTTGTGTCTCTCCGATTCTCTGATTCTTGGATTCTGCGGCTTTCGGTTTTGTAATATTATAATTTACGACTTTTTGACAAATTATCGGCATAAAGGAACATAAATAATATGTATTTGGCAAACGTCGACAATAAGCGTAAATTTCAATAAATTAATCATTTCGTGACGGCCACAAATTGTTGAGGGGGCGTCGGCACAGGGGCTTACAGGGATGTGGCACAGCTCGGGGCATGCAACAGGCGGCAGCACGCAAACAGAAGCAGAAGCAGCAGCAGCAGCAGCAGAAGAGCAGTTGGGTCGGAAGACGGTGGAGAGCAATGTTAAAACGATTCAATTACAGAACCGAAGGCGAAATTTTATCAATTCATAATTCAGTGATGGACCCCCGGCACCGCTCCACAAATTGATGCCTGCCACAAATCCTTATCAATTTCCATTCCATTTGACATTAGGGAAATGGTCAGAGGCGCGTTCTGCTGCTAATTATGTGCCATTTTATTATGCTGCGATTTCTATGGGGCTCTAATGGCCATGTCCTGCGAGCTGATGGAGGATGGGCGCATTTTCTGGTGCAGTCTCCAACTAATCTTTGACCGCATCCAACGATGCCAGAAATGCGAGCTTCAAAACAGTTTTCCTCCTCGTTTTTCGCAGTCTTTTTCGACTCGTTTTTGTTGGCAACCGAAAAGTGCAACCAAATTGAAAGCAAAGCCAAGTCATCAGGCGAATGTAATTGCTGCCAGAGGAAGGACTCGAAGTGGGACGAGCGCTACGATGTGTAAGGTAAACCTCATTTCGGGGGCTATGTTTTCAAACAAAAACTGTGCCATATATTATGTCAGAGGCGTCAGATAAGCGCCTCCCAGACGATGGGGCACTGAAGATTCGCTGGCGAATTTAAATCCGTTGCAAAATTGGTTTCCTTCTATGTGGAAAAGCGGTTACAACTTGATCAGCCAGCAGCCAGTCATGTGCCATGTGCACAAAAGGTGTCGCCCAACTGGTCTATACCCATTAAACTTGATCTCTTCACTTACTTAACTAATTCTTCCATCTATTGTCCTTTATTTTATTGCATTCATTACACTCGTTTGCGGTCTGTAAGAATATTTCACTCAGGGCAATCCATTAGTTGCAATTAAATCGTTTCTTCTTAGTTTATAACACTCATTTGATGCGTATTCCCCATTTCATTTCATTTCATTTCATTTTATAATTTTCACAATTTCGTACACTTCGTTCAATCATTTTCCTTTCAGCAGAAGCGGCAGCAACAGCAGACGCCACTCGTTGTTCAAATATTCATTGCACTCGAAGGAGTGTGGCCGTGTCCTGTGCTGTGCTCCGCACTTGAATAGTATTCAATGTTCGGCATGCTATGCCCCTCTCTTACCCTTCATGCACAGTCTCGTGTGTTCTCTGAAGATCTCTTTCTCAGTCGCAGACTTAGTTTCTCTATTTGCCGCTTTTGATACCGTTTTCAGGGAGTTTTTTGGGTTGCTTGTGGGTCTCTGGATGAGTGGTTTCGGCTAGCAATCAGTTCATGACTTGAAAGCCCATTCCTCAAGTATTGTTCAGAATCGAATGACAATACAGGATATGATATGATTACAGGGTATCCTTATGTTCGCGTGCCTTTTCCTTTATTTGGCCTTTGTTTGGCGAACGTTTTTGCCAATGTTTTGCTTTTTGTTTTCGGCTTCATTACATTGAAGGTTTGTTTTTTGTTTTGTTTTGTTTTGTTTTCGGCATTCCATTTCCTTCAGTTGGTTTTTATTGTCTGTGTCTCTCTGACTCTGCTCGTGTCTCAGTCTCCCGTTTCCTTTCTGCCTTTGTGTTTGTTCTTTTTGCTTGTTTGTGGAAATTAAGCTTTGAAAAATGACTAGCTTGCTGGCTCGCAGATACACTGGGACTGGGGCTGAGGCTCGGGCTGGGGCTGGGACATACACAGCACAGACGCACACACAGATGCAGTGTTGCACACATAAGTATTTGGAAAATTACTTTCATTTGTGTGTGCGCTTGGCTTGGCTCGTTACTGTCGAAGGAGTTGCGCAGCTCCTGCCGCTCTTTGCTCTCTTATGTGTCCTGTGTCCTGTGTCGTGTGTCCTGTCGCCTGTCTCCAGCTTCCTGTCTTGTTTTTGTGGCTTTCAGAGAAAGCATTTTCATTTATATTTAGTTCTTTCGTCTTTCGCCTGCTGCCAGCCACTTCCTTGGGGCCATTATCAAGGTCCCTCCTCCTGCCGCTCTCGCTGTGTGTTGCATTTGTAAATTACAAAAATGAAATTAAGTTCACACTTTGTCATGTGGGGACATTTACGGTTTTTAATTGTTTGTGCGGACTGTACTGAACCGTACTCTACAGTACTGTGTGGCGGAATGTTGCCTACTTTTTCGGGCTGCCTGCTCCTTAAATGAGTAATGAACGCTGCTTGCTCGTGCCCTTTCTCGTGCTGATGCTTGTGCTTGTGCTCGTGTGCTCATCATCTCTCTCGTCCTGTTTAGCGTTTTGCTATGTACATTAATAATTTCGTTAAATATTTGCCCTCTTCCTCTACATACTTGCATATGTGTGTGTTTCTAATTATAAATTATTCTTGGTATTATCTGAAGAAGACATCCCCTTCAACTTGAAACTGCACACACGTATCCCTTGTGTCCTGGGTGTCCTTTAAAGCACAATGGCTGGCATGCAAATTATCTGATTACCGTCTGGCAATCGCATTTTCTCTCTCTCTAGCCCTCTGCTCTGTTCTGCTCTGCTCTGCTTAGCTTATAATTTATGGCGAGTCCGAGTAGTAGTTATATAAAATGGATTATGGTGCGGTGTTCCCTCTCTAAAAGGTTTCATGCTGATTTTTTTGTCTGTATATTTGAACGGGAATCCACTGGGAAAGGGAGAATAGTTCTAGCAGGAATCTTGATTCATTTCAATCCAATTTCGTTGCTGCCATGAACCCTTGTTAAATGATTCAATCCAATCATTGCTCAAATTCAAATAATTGCTCGAATCTTGGTATTTTATTCAAAAACAAACTTGAAGCGCTCCCTGGCTGCAGCACACACTTTTGCTGATCCTGGGGATCTGGCGGCGTAACTCACTCAAAACAAAAGGATAACAACAAATGCTGAAACAGAACAGCCAGTGCTAGTGCCACAAGAGTTTGCTACAAATTACCAAAGCACTCGACTTCCGCTCAACTAAACGCATCCCCAAGTCGCAAAGTTGCCCATGCCATGCCATGCCCTACTTGCCCTCGACTTGCTTCAGAGCTGGATTACGCATATGCGCCGCGTGGATGCTGATGCTGATGCTGCCACTGGCACTTGTGGCATCTTTGGTGTGGCACAAATGAAGTTAGGGCGCGCTGCTTGGCTTTGCTTTCCAGGAACAGGAAGTGCATGAAACATTCATTAGGGCCTGCCCCCGCTCTTACTGCTGCAGCTGCTGCTCCTACTGCCTTCTTTTTCGATACTTTTTGCCACAAGTTGCATTTAAATGCGTTGGACTGACTGACTGATGATGATGAAAAACCCTTCTTCCACATGGAAATCTCTTGAGAAGAAGAGAGAGAGAGAGTTTGCCCCCAGCCCGCAAGCAACAAGGGGGCGTATGAGCAATATTCAAAGTTACAAAAACTTTGGCCATGAGTGCACTCACTTAATGCCAGAAGAGCGGAAAGGAAACTTGTGGGCTATCTGTGGCAATAAAAGCGAACCGAACTGCTTGCAACTTTCTTATCAAAAGTTCAAATAATGAAACGAACTGGCAGTGTCAGCCAAAATAATTAGAGACTCTCCACTGGCTCTCCCGCTCGCTCTCTCTCTCTCTCCCTCTCTCTCGACTATCTCTTGACCATTTGGTCAGCGCGACATGATGACTGTGGCTGCCCAGTAGGGGTTTTATAGGTAAGAATGGAGTCACTGCTCTGGACATAAGCAAAACTTTTGGAACGGGCGACAAACGGCAACGAATAGAGAAACATGGAAACTTGGGGGAAAACAGAAATGAAATTGTTGCTTTTTTTATTTGGATGGGAAGGGGGGGGGG